TATCAACAACGCTCAAACAAGTCATACTAATATTAGGCAAAGAATCAAGATCTACTTTATATGTATTTTCGAGCCTCTTGCCTTCAAGTATAACTTGTTGTGATTCGTTGTTAACAATGCGACAAACGTTATGGTCAAAAAACAACACTATTACCTCGATCGCAAAATTGAGAAATACTTAGTAAATTAAATCTCAAACCCTTGACTAAAAAGACATTGTCAATTGCATGGTTAGGTGATTTTCCAACTTTGCCCACGGCTATAATCTCTCCTTTGCCGTTGTCTCCAAATGTCACCTTCCCACCGTTAAATGGCCGTAGTGAGAGGAATAAAGATTTGTCTCCCGTCATGTGCTTAGAACAACCACTGTCAAGGAACCAGTGATTGTTCCCCCTCACTCGGCGCTGTTCCAGGATCAAGGGTTAGCGCGTGGAACCCAGACTTGCTTGGGTTCCATTTTGTATTTGTTTGAGGAATATCTAACATGATCATAACATCTTTCTAAAGTCTTTTGCCGAGAGTGACATTGATACCGTAGATGACCGATTTTGCCACAATGCATGCAAACCCGGTTGTCATAAGTATCAACGTATTTAAGTTTCCATTTACCATAAAAGCCTCTTGTTCTTTTATGAAACGTTCGGTTAGGCGTTTGTCCATAACCGTTTTTGTGCCTCTGAACCAGTCTATCGAACCAGTTTGATCCAGTTCTAGGTGGCTGTTGATATGGTCTAGAACTGGGTTGTCCTCGGGTTCTATTATCCTTAAAGGGTTGGTTCTGAAAATTTGATTTTTGATTAGCTCGAATATCCTTTGGAACATATCCGAGACCTGCAGTCTCGTTTACTTTCTTATTGTGCTGAGAAGGACCAGTTCCAGAATGATGTCTAGACCTGGTTTTGTTCGTTGCACTATATGATTGATATTCCGGTCTATTTTTAAAATCAGTGCACTCGGCAACAAGACGATGAAGATGATCAATTAAACAACCAACACTCGGTATTTTTGAGAGAAGCTTTTCATCATGATCAACTTGTTTGTTCATACTATCGAGCTTAAGAGAACAAATAATTTGATCTTGTTCTAGAACCACTTCACTGTACTTAAGCCTTTCATCTATTAACTCTCCCACTTTTGTTTCAAGCCTTATTTTGGCTCTCGTGGCTTCCTCGAGTTTAGACTCAAGCTCAGTGACACGTGATTTAAGATGATCGTTTTCGGAAAGGCTTTCATTAAGATCAATAGTCAATCTTTTGAAAATCTTCCGAGTTTTGGTTTTGGATAGAGAGTCAAACTTGGATAGAAAATTTTCAAAGTTTACCTCAAAGCTTTCTTGGTCGGATTCCTCGTCGGAGAGTGCCATAAGACATAGACCCGCATGGTTTGAGTTCTTATCACTCTCTTCTCCTTCGTCATCGGAAGAGTCTCCCCATGCTGCCATCATGGCCCTTTTTAGATCTCTCTTGAACCCTTTGTCTTCGCTGAACCTCCGGTTGGAACTGGACTTGTTCTTGTCGCAGTTCCGTTCATTTTTCTTTTGTGGGCAGTCTTTAGCCCTGTGCTCAAAGGAACTACAAACAAAACAGCCTTGGTTATTAAAAGATTGAGTGTTCTTTTTACCTTGTTTGATACGGTTGTTCTTGAACTTTCGGTACATCCTCCCAAATTGTTTTGCAAACATGCTCATCTCATCATCCGATTCACTCTCGGATTCCTCTTCTTCTTCTCGAGCCTTTAGAGCTATTCCTCTTTCTCGTCTAGCACTCTCGGCATCTTGTTCTTCTTGAAGACCTAGTTCATATGTCAAGAGTGATCCAGTCAAGTCTTCAAGCGTCATGGTGGATAGATCCTTTGCTTCTTCAATAGCCGTGGTCTTAGGCTTCCACACTTGGGGAAGGCTTCTCAAAATCTTTCTCACTTGATCTTCCACGATAATTTCTCTTCCAAGGGCTGAAAGCTCATTGATAATGTTAGTAAAGCGTGTAATCATATCCTTAATTGACTCTTTTGGCTTCATTACGAATAATTCGTAATTACGCATGAATATGTCAATCTTAGATTTTTTTACACGTGAGGTTCCCTCATGAGTGACCTCGAGCAAATCCCACATTTGTTTTGCAGTCTTGCATCCTAGAACCCGATTGTGTTCGATAGGACCAAGACCACAAATTAAATATTTAAGGGCTTGGGCATTATGCTCGAGTTTCTCATAATCTTCAGAAGTATATTCAGCTTTAGGTTTAGGAACAACATTACCTTCGGCGTTTCTCTTTGTGATGACATTATCACCACTTTCTATTACATTCCAAACCTGATAGTTATCGGCCTTGATAAAGTTTTCCATCCGACTCTTCCAAAATTGATAGTATTTGCCATTGAACAATGGTGGTCGTTGAGTCGAGTACCCTTCTTCCAATCTGTCAACCGTATTCATTTTGCCGGATCTCTTCCCAAGGTATTAGCCTCTATGTGGTGAAGACCGGCTCTGATACCAATTGATGAAAACGGTTAGCAACACAAGAGGGGGGGGGGGGTGAATTGTGTGTGTGTGGAACCGTGGCAGTTTTTCGCCCAGTTCTAGTGCGGGGTAAAGGGATATACGAAATAGTAAAGTGCTCAAGGATTTAACGAGGAAAAATCCCTTGGCTCAAAGGGATTAAAAAACCTCGACCTCCCTCGGAGGAATTTTAACAACTTCACTAAAAAGCCTTTGATGATTACAAGGGAAACTCTCCTAGTCTACCCTTGAGCCACCCCAACTCTATCCTCTCTAGGAAGAGTTATGCTTCTCTACCTTGCGGGTAGAGAGCCTCTCAGCTTTACAACAAAGCTCTCACACACAAACCAACCAGAGGAGGCTACTCTTAGCCAATCCTCAAAACCCCATTACAATATGAAGAAGGGAAAGAAGAAACTATATCTAGAACTCCGTATGAGCAGTTTCAGGCAGATTGTGCTTGATATATTCTTGAGTGTATCTCGGTGTATTTCTTGCTGCCAGCCCTACTACTTCTCTTTTGCCCCTTTGCTCTTTATAGGCAGTCTTGAAGAGAATCCGTTGGAGCCCCTTTGATTCTTGCCTTGATATAATTCAAAAAACCTTCCATCTTGATACACAAGTCAAACTAGCATGTATAGTTTTATAAGACAAGAAGTAATTGATGTTGTGGGTCAAGGCAATAATTTATTATCTCACCATATACACACATACGGATTATGCTAGTAAATATTCCTTAGCACATATAAATTTATTCGAATCATTTGTTCAAAGGAAGCTTTCCTTTAATAATAATTCATGCAACGTTGCTTTTTTGAAAAGTCAATTGCCTTTGTTGCTAATTAAGGAGCCAGTTAAAAGAGAAGATTCAATTTACTTCAAATCAAGCTACGGTCACTTCCATTAAGATCAATTACAAAAGGTAATATTTTCTTGCAAGCCATATTCAAATAATGCCATAGAATCATGCAATTATTCTAAAGTAACTTTCCTTAAACAAATATTCATTTAATATCTCCACCAAGGATAACATTTTCAAACCAAAGCAAGTTACGTATATTTTGTAGCAATGAAAAGATTTATGCAATCTTTTGTAAGTCAAGCTACTTTAATGACTAAATATAAACCATGCACTCATAATATAGCAAGCAAGGATATATTCCATAAAGTGATAGGCTATACTAATAAGTGGATGTCTAATCAAATATGGAAAGAGAATAAACACTCAAATATGCACCCATATGCAAATTACGTATATCTATTTTATGGTCATGCAAAAATGCACTCATATTACTTTCCATAAAGCATATCTAACAATACATTCCCCAAAATATCCAATCAATTATGGAAAGATATTAATGCATGTAAAATATCATACGTTGAAAGACATGCATATGCAGTTTACGGAACAGGAGCGGTTCTGTACGTCGTTCTACCTACATGGTTAGTCATCAACAAAACCACATACTCAACAATACATAGATCTGCCCTGATCATCTACACAAACATGAAACAACTTATTTATAGTTTAAAATACACAATAAGTTATGTTCTATGGAATTCTGTAAAATATAGGACACCAACTAATAAGTCAAAGTCGGTAAAAAGAGTAATAAGTCAAATTACTCCCTGTTCAAATATTCTTCCCTATTTGACTTGAATCATAGTTTAAGAAAATGAGAATAAAGAAAAAAAATGTATGATTGTAGTTAGTTGCATAAAAAAAAGTAAATGAATGCCAGTTACACAAAACTTTCCAAAAAGAGATATGAGAAAATATCTTGGAACATCCCAAAAATATAAGTGAGAAGAATTTTATGGGATGGAGAGAATAGTTTGCAATAGTAAGATAAGAAGTATAAATATTTGATACCATGTTTTGGGCAGTCAATTATCTAATTAATAAACTATTTTCAAAAATTAAAGTCGCACTTTAGAACTACCATAACTTGGAATCGAGCTTGGGAAAAGGTGTTTACTTGAATTCAAAATTTAAATATAGTGATTAGTTTTAAGATTTTTCCTCGAAATATTACTTAAATTATACGTAGTACTCAGTTACGTAGTATAAAAAATAACTAAATGGTCACTTGCAAAATCAATATAGCTACTTCATTGATAAAATGTTGTCACTTTGCATTAAGGACACCTTTTTGTATCTACCTTTTATTTGATTAATATAGTAGTCATTATTTTTTTAAAAGCTCATTTCTTCTTTCAGATACTCCGTATTTCATCTCTTTTTTCAAGAAGTGATTTTTGTGAACTACGTAGTATAACATTTTTACAATGAATTGACTGAAATTATTATGACTATACTTTTATGGTCACTGTGATATAATATTTAAATATAATTATAACTTCTGGAGTCGCGTGCTAAATGAAACGTAGACCATAATCATTCCAAAGGTTATTAAGTTACGTGTTTATCCATTGTCGTTATTTTGATCATACCTTAAGAATTACTTCCGTGGTAACACTTAAGAGATGGCATGTTGACAATCATTTTTCTATTATTTTCAACAACAATGTACCTCACATTTTTTAGTCAATATATCTCCATCTAAAAGACTAACAATCCATGTAGAACACTTTTCAACAATTTATACATATTAATCCATTGCATACAGTGTATTCTCCAATCTAAAAAAGACTTATTTGTGCAAAATTGTTAAGGGGCCCGTCTTAACAACCAGAGACCTTGCAACTCGATAACCAAATGCTCTTAAAGTACAAAACTTATTCTCATGGTTTTTCATTCAAAACTGTTTTGATAGAAACTCTGCTGAGAGGTTGACTATATAGTTTAGAAATCGTTTGGCTCTGATACCACTTAATTGTCACGCCCCAGACCGCGTCTGTGCCACGTGGACAACCGTCGTACAACCCAATAAGAATAACCGCAGTTCATCCTTACCGAATTGCACAAGACGTCCGATAGATACATATGCCAAAACCGATTAGTAAACATACATAACAACATCAACATACAATCGAACACATAGCGGAATATAAGTGATTAATAAGAACCCACACAAGGGTAAAACAAGAGCTCGCAGGCTCCATTAATTTATAAGTCAAAATAGTTCCATGAGCATTATTTAATTATTTAAAAATGGAACGAGAGGAAGCACGAACCACGTCTTCTCTCCATCGATCTCCCGAGCAACGGGTACAGGAAGTAAGCTCTAGCTTCAACCTGAAAGGGTGGTTCCCCCGAGGGATCAGTACTACAGAAAAGTACTGGTGAGGGCAAACTGTATGTAATGTAACTAACGTTTCTCACGTGAGACCCTCAAAATAGGGTGATAGTATAATTATGGGCATAACTCTTAGCTACCCCTTTTCAAAACAAAATGTATACATATATACATATGAGTAAAATATCCGGCCTGTGGGCCCATTTGTCTTTCAAATCATTTAGGCATAACAGCCTCATTAAATTCACCCTTCCCATGTCTTACCCTCGAGTGGAGTCACCCGCAGGCTGACTCACCCGATATCAAAATATAATTACTGTGGGGGCCCTTCGGACTCCCATATCACGGACATGGTTTAAATCAATTCCTAGACCAAGGAAAATATCCTATCGGAAACTCGTTCCCGATCAAGCACGTTTAATCATTTAAAATCATTACCTTGAGGTTCACCTACCTCGAGGACTATCCGTCCTTACAATCATAGTTTACATTCCCGGGGCTAACCCCGCCTTGGGAAGTACGCATACACCCTCATCCTATGTGTAATTTGCTGGAGGTTAACACACCTCAAGGACTACACGGGCCCTTGTTACCTATGTGCAATTTGATGGAGGATACCACACCTCAAGGACTGCACTTGCCCTTGTTACCTATGTGTAATTTGCTGGAGGATACCACACCTCAAGGACTACACGAGCCCTTGTTACCTATATGCAATTTGATGGAGGATACCACACCTCAAGGACTGCATTTGCCCTTGTTACCTATGTGTAATTTGCTGGAGGATACCACACCTCAAGGACTACACGGGCCCTTGTTACCTATATGCAATTTGATGGAGGATACCACACCTCAAGGACTGCATTTGCCCTTGTTACCTATGTGTAATTTGCTGGAGGATACCACACCTCAAGGACTACACGGGCCCTTGTTACCTATATGCAATTTGATGGAGGATACCACACCTCAAGGACTGCATTTGCCCTTGTTACCTATGTGTAATTTACTGGAGGATACCACACCTCAAGGACTACACGGGCCCCCTATATGCAATTTGATGGAGGATACCACACCTCAAGGACTGCATTTGCCCTTGTTACCTATGTGTAATTTGCTGGAGGTTAACACACCTCAAGGACTACACGGGCCCTTGTTAACGTTTGAGTATAAAGGATTCCTCCTGGTCCTGCAGAGTTTTACTCAACCTTACTTGGTCTCGGGTATTCACCCGCCATGTGTAATCTACCACTTACCTCGCCCGGTCGTGGTCTATAATTTCTTTACTAACGACTAGTCCAAGTCTTAGCGTTTAAACCGTATTTAAAGCCTTAGCAACCAATGTGGATGGGTCCCACCCGAACGGCCCACAAAAACTTACTCAAAAACTGCATACTGGGTGTATAACCCAATACCCGGTCGGGTATTACCCATACCCGGTCGGGTATGGTGAGGCAGTAGCCTCTGGAACTGATTTTAGCTAATACCCGGTCGGGTATTTACTTATACCCGGTCGGGTATAGCCTTTGACTTGGCGGTCAACGCCCGTTTGACCGCACAAACGAAGTCCGATTTACGTGAAATTTTATACACATGTACTTCTTGACTTCCTCAATCCAAAAATACCTTTTTGGGTCCTTGGAACATCATACATAATTAATTATCACATTTTAAATCATCAAGCTTACTTAACATGCTTTTCAACCATATTTTAAATATAATCATGGCATAACACATACTGGATTATCTTTAATCATTCAATAAAATATATTCTTGATTACTTTAGGTAATCTATGCCTCACTCAAAAGTTATAAAGCATAAAGCCATCTTCTCACAACTATTAATAAGTACTTCATACTTATTAATCGTTTATGTATTTCGTTCTAGTTTATTCTTCATAACTAGATTTAATTTAATGACATGTATGATTAAGTACTTGAATCCTTCAAGAATACCATCTTGAATTACCTTAGTTAAATCATCCATGATTATCCTTTATCAAAAATATTAATAATTCTTTTACTCATTAATCGTGCCATTTTCACATAACTTATAATCATTATAGTTAATCACATGTTTAAACACTTTTAAACATTTCTATACATATTCACATACTAGATTACTCTAGTTACCTCATACATAGCCCATGTATGCATTTTTATACATTTGACAATGATATATTCATGATTAATCCACAAATAAATCTCTTATTCATTAAACATGTAATATTTCCATAATTCATATTCACCATGACTAATCATGCATTTTAATCCATTTAATCATTTCTCAAATCATGATAAGGATTTTATTTAGGTAATCCCACGTTTGACCCAAGAGTTACAAGACACGTAGTCGTCCACTCACCTTGAAATGACGCTAGCAAGCTTTTATCCTCTTTGTTTGAACTCCGGTGACTTTTGAAATTTTCCGGCGAAACTCCGGCGGCTCCGGCGAACTTTCCGGCCACTCCTAGATTCCTCGAGAAGTCTAGAATACCTTGGTAAAATTCCTAACAAGTTTTCACAACCAAAAGTGGTATAAATGTCAAAACCTTCCAAGAAGGTGTTTTCCGGTGAACCGGCCTTGCTCCGGTCATAACTCCGTTTATGGTTAAACTTAACCTTCCAAATCCTCATTCTACACCTCTAGAAGTGTAGAATAAGATTAAGGGTCCATAATATGATTTATAAAATCATACTCCCTCCGTCCCCCTAAGTTTGTCCCGTTTTACCTTTTTCGTCCGTCCCACTAAGTTTGTCTCATACCATATTTGGTAATATTTGAGTGGTTAGAATTCATTCTTACTTTATTCACACTTTATCAATTCAATATCAACCACACAATTCTACTTTTTCTTAAAAACCACACCACACCCCTTTGTCCCAAACTTAGGGGGACGGAGGTAGTATAAGGTTAAATGAAGGAGGAAAAATACTAATGACGTTATTACCTTGATTTTCCCCTAAGTTTTCTTTACTTTCTCCACTCTTTCTTCTTCCTTGAGCATCCCTATGCTTGAGCTCGGTTTTGGGAGGTTGAAGGTGAAGATATGCAGACCTTAATCCTCTTAATTGGCTCCATGATTTGTACTATAAGTCCATGTGGGAGGGGAGTACTTAATTTGGCTTTACTCTCAATGATGGAGTGTGAGAGGGACCTTGTTTGACATTTCTTGTTCCCCCATCACCTCTAATTATTTCCACTATTTCAACATGGCTCTACACACTTATTGCAAGACCAAAAAATCGTGGGGTGGCCCCCACTCATGTGGGAGGTCATCCCAATATGTCCCGAAGTGTACGTTCGGCCCCGAAAGTTGTATTTTCTGGACTGTTTCAATTAAATTTCATTTTATCGGGTCAAATAAAATATATATCATTCTTCCAATTAATATTGGCCTTTAGAATGAATATTTATTATCCCACTTTAATTTCGTGGTCGCCGAAATTAATTTCGGGCTGTTACCTGTTTAATTACCTATACCGGTAATGGGACCTCGTTTGATCGAAAGGCCAACTTTATGGCTCAACATTTATTTACACCCTCATATAAATATTATCTAGACCAAGATGAATATAATATGTGGTTCCGGAAATATCAGATGGTCCCCGCTCCTAGTGTAGGCCCAACGTGCAATTTACTGTTCAAGTAACAGTAAAAATGAGAACACGTCATCTCGTAAATTCATTAGCAATTTCTCATGACTCAATATGTGTATTGATATTTTGTGACATTTTAATAAAATGTTACACATCTTTTTAAGTGATCCCATATGTAAAAACAGATAAAATCTTATCTGTTTGTTCCCAAAATAAAATATCTTTAAGGTAGGGTCCTCCAAAAGTACCCTCCTTTAATATACCAAGTTAATCAATATTATTTATCCCATTATTTTGGTTTCTTAAAATGTTTATATTTCTTCTGTTATAAATTCGTAGTCCTACGAATTATTGACAGTCCGATAATTAAGGACTCCCCACTATCGAATAGTGGCCCTGGCTCGCTCGGCCGTCCAGTTGTCGCTCTTTATAACAATGGGGTCCATGACCCATTCCTACTATCATAATAGTATCGTTTTGGAAAATAGTAATATTTTATAAACTTGAAATACCACGTGTGGTCCCACGTCTAAATTAATAACCCTAAATTAATAACCCTTTATTAATTTAGGACAAAATTTTACTTTCTCATTTATCGAGACTACTCTTAGTCTTGATTTACCTTCTTTAACCAAGTACTTTACGAAAAATTTTTATCTGGGTAAAATTCGGGTCCGGTGTTACAAGTTCACCCCCCCTTACAGGAATTTCGTCCCCGAAATTAGCGTTTTAACCTTGAGAAATACTTCCCCCTTCATTAATTGAAGCTAACCATTTTCAACATCATAATTTTTTTTTTATGAAACGAAGGGTTTAAATAAATATTACCTTATGTCATAGTCATTCCCACAAATGGCTTCTGTCATTCATCGCCTTCACGAGCGAGTTCTCCCCCGATTGGTGGATGGTAAAACATTTGAAGCAATCCCTGTTGGGTTCGCAACCTCCGTGACCCCCCTGTGGGCCCCCAAGGCTCCTCCCCGTACACGTTGAGGACAAAGAGCCTTTATGTGGCCCGTTTCTCCACAAAAGTAGCATCTAGATGGTTCTAGACATATCCCGTGGTGCCTCCGCCTACAATTCTCACATTTGGGCGCTCCCGTGCCCCGAGTGCTTGAGCTTTGACTTACCCAGTCCTTGCTCCCTTTTGAAAATGGAACCAACTTGCTAGAGTCCCCCTCTCTTTGAAAGTCATACTTCCTCTCTCGTCCGATAGGATGATTGATCATCTGATCTCTTTCTTGTGCTTCCTTAGCACCCCTTGCTTGCCTTTCCTCCCAAAGCTCCTCCCCCTGGAGACCCTGGGCTACTACTTGACTAAAAGTCATGTTGAATTGATAGGTCGCCCTTTCGCGTACCTCCAAATTCAGTGCATCCCAAAAATGGTTCGCCATTCGATCCTCATTGGCGGCATATTCAGGCAAGAACCTTGCCAAATGTCGGAACCTTTGTTCCAATTGCTTCACCGTAAACTCATTGCCCTGTTTGAGATTTGTATATTCCCTCCTCTTTCGATTAACTTCGAAAGAGGTATAAAACTGTTCATAGAATGATTGCTCGAAGTTGTCCCATGTGACAACTCCATCAAACTTACCTTTGATGCCTTCCCACCAAGTAGAAGCTAAACCTTCCAACAATCTAGTGGCTACCCTTAACTTCCGATCAGGGACCACTTGCATGTCATCGGCTGCATCATTTAACCTTTTTATCCACTCGGCCGCTTCCGAGATATCCCCCGTCCCATCAAACGGTTTGCACCCCAAGGCCCTAGCCTCTTTGAGGTACTTTGAGATCTTAATGAATGGTCCTTCGCCATCAGAATCTCTGACTGTCCTAACATGTGCTCTATGAGCACCCCGACCCCTCCTGCGAGAGGTCTCGTCTCTGACATGTCCCACCTGGGATCTCTGTCGTTGTCTTTCCCTTTCACGCTGGTACCATTGGTACATCTCACTAATCTGGTCAGGAGGAATACTATGTATATCCTCTCCACTGTTTTCCTCAAAAGAAGTTTCATCTGACTTGCTATCAGGGTGATAAGTTGAGTCATCCTCCGAGTTCCACGACTCGAATTCAGTCATCATGCGATCAACCATCGCACTTCGTGTTTGTTGGCCTTGGTGGCCCCTACCTCGCCTTTTTGGCGACCTTGATATTCCCCGATTGGCTTTCCCGGCTATTCCCGGTGTGCGCCCTCTCGGATTCCCTCGAATTGCCCTATCGCTACCACCCATTCCTGAAAGAATATATTGGAATGAGTCTTTGGAGTCGTTTGAATGTCAATTGACAGAAACGTACTCAAGACACGACTTAGATCAAGTCACTGCCATACCAATTGTTAAGGGGCCCGTCTTAACAACCAGAGACCTTGCAACTCGATAACCAAATGCTCTTAAAGTACAAAACTTATTCTCATGGTTTTTCATTCAAAACTGTTTTGATAGAAACTCTGCTGAGAGGTTGACTATATAGTTTAGAAATCGTTTGGCTCTGATACCACTTAATTGTCACGCCCCAGACCGCGTCTGTGCCACGTGGACAACCGTCGTACAACCCAATAAGAATAACCGCAGTTCATCCTTACCGAATTGCACAAGACGTCCGATAGATACATATGCCAAAACCGATTAGTAAACATACATAACAACATCAACATACAATCGAACACATAGCGGAATATAAGTGATTAATAAGAACCCACACAAGGGTAAAACAAGAGCTCGCAGGCTCCATTAATTTATAAGTCAAAATAGTTCCATGAGCATTATTTAATTATTTAAAAATGGAACGAGAGGAAGCACGAACCACGTCTTCTCTCCATCGATCTCCCGAGCAACGGGTACAGGAAGTAAGCTCTAGCTTCAACCTGAAAGGGTGGTTCCCCCGAGGGATCAGTACTACAGAAAAGTACTGGTGAGGGCAAACTGTATGTAATGTAACTAACGTTTCTCACGTGAGACCCTCAAAATAGGGTGATAGTATAATTATGGGCATAACTCTTAGCTACCCCTTTTCAAAACAAAATGTATACATATATACATATGAGTAAAATATCCGGCCTGTGGGCCCATTTGTCTTTCAAATCATTTAGGCATAACAGCCTCATTAAATTCACCCTTCCCATGTCTTACCCTCGAGTGGAGTCACCCGCAGGCTGACTCACCCGATATCAAAATATAATTACTGTGGGGGCCCTTCGGACTCCCATATCACGGACATGGTTTAAATCAATTCCTAGACCAAGGAAAATATCCTATCGGAAACTCGTTCCCGATCAAGCACGTTTAATCATTTAAAATCATTACCTTGAGGTTCACCTACCTCGAGGACTATCCGTCCTTACAATCATAGTTTACATTCCCGGGGCTAACCCCGCCTTGGGAAGTACGCATACACCCTCATCCTATGTGTAATTTGCTGGAGGTTAACACACCTCAAGGACTACACGGGCCCTTGTTACCTATGTGCAATTTGATGGAGGATACCACACCTCAAGGACTGCACTTGCCCTTGTTACCTATGTGTAATTTGCTGGAGGATACCACACCTCAAGGACTACACGAGCCCTTGTTACCTATATGCAATTTGATGGAGGATACCACACCTCAAGGACTGCATTTGCCCTTGTTACCTATGTGTAATTTGCTGGAGGATACCACACCTCAAGGACTACACGGGCCCTTGTTACCTATATGCAATTTGATGGAGGATACCACACCTCAAGGACTGCATTTGCCCTTGTTACCTATGTGTAATTTGCTGGAGGATACCACACCTCAAGGACTACACGGGCCCTTGTTACCTATATGCAATTTGATGGAGGATACCACACCTCAAGGACTGCATTTGCCCTTGTTACCTATGTGTAATTTACTGGAGGATACCACACCTCAAGGACTACACGGGCCCTTGTTACCTATATGCAATTTGATGGAGGATACCACACCTCAAGGACTGCATTTGCCCTTGTTACCTATGTGTAATTTGCTGGAGGTTAACACACCTCAAGGACTACACGGGCCCTTGTTAACGTTTGAGTATAAAGGATTCCTCCTGGTCCTGCAGAGTTTTACTCAACCTTACTTGGTCTCGGGTATTCACCCGCCATGTGTAATCTACCACTTACCTCGCCCGGTCGTGGTCTATAATTTCTTTACTAACGACTAGTCCAAGTCTTAGCGTTTAAACCGTATTTAAAGCCTTAGCAACCAATGTGGATGGGTCCCACCCGAACGGCCCACAAAAACTTACTCAAAAACTGCATACTGGGTGTATAACCCAATACCCGGTCGGGTATGGTGAGGCAGTAGCCTCTGGAACTGATTTTAGCTAATACCCGGTCGGGTATTTACTTATACCCGGTCGGGTATAGCCTTTGACTTGGCGGTCAACGCCCGTTTGACCGCACAAACGAAGTCCGATTTACGTGAAATTTTATACACATGTACTTCTTGACTTCCTCAATCCAAAAATACCTTTTTGGGTCCTTGGAACATCATACATAATTAATTATCACATTTTAAATCATCAAGCTTACTTAACATGCTTTTCAACCATATTTTAAATATAATCATGGCATAACACATACTGGATTATCTTTAATCATTCAATAAAATATATTCTTGATTACTTTAGGTAATCTATGCCTCACTCAAAAGTTATAAATCATAAAGCCATCTTCTCACAACTATTAATAAGTACTTCATACTTATTAATCGTTTATGTATTTCGTTCTAGTTTATTCTTCATAACTAGATTTAATTTAATGACATGTATGATTAAGTACTTGAATCCTTCAAGAATACCATCTTGAATTACCTTAGTTAAATCATCCATGATTATCCTTTATCAAAAATATTAATAATTCTTTTACTCATTAATCGTGCCATTTTCACATAACTTATAATCATTATAGTTAATCACATGTTTAAACACTTTTAAACATTTCTATACATATTCACATACTAGATTACTCTAGTTACCTCATACATAGCCCATGTATGCATTTTTATACATTTGACAATGATATATTCATGATTAATCCACAAATAAATCTCTTATTCATTAAACATGTAATATTTCCATAATTCATATTCACCATGACTAATCATGCATTTTAATCCATTTAATCATTTCTCAAATCATGATAAGGATTTTATTTAGATAATCCCACGTTTGACCCAAGAGTTACAAGACACGTAGTCGTCCACTCACCTTGAAATGACGCTAGCAAGCTTTTATCCTCTTTGTTTGAACTCCGGTGACTTTTGAAATTTTCCGGCGAAACTCCGGCGGCTCCGGCGAACTTTCCGGCCACTCCTAGATTCCTCGAGAAGTCTAGAATACCTTGGTAAAATTCCTAACAAGTTTTCACAACCAAAAGTGGTATAAATGTCAAAACCTTCCAAGAAGGTGTTTTCCGGTGAACCGGCCTTGCTCCGGTCATAACTCCGTTTATGGTTAAACTTAACCTTCCAAATCCTCATTCTACACCTCTAGAAGTGTAGAATAAGATTAAGGGTCCATAATATGATTTATAAAATCATATAAGGTTAAATGAAGGAGGAAAAATACTAATGACGTTATTACCTTGATTTTCCCCTAAGTTTTCTTTACTTTCTCCACTCTTTCTTCTTCCTTGAGCATCCCTATGCTTGAGCTCGGTTTTGGGAGGTTGAAGGTGAAGATATGCAGACCTTAATCCTCTTAATTGGCTCCATGATTTGTACTATAAGTCCATGTGGGAGGGGAGTACTTAATTTGGCTTTACTCTCAATGATGGAGTGTGAGAGGGACCTTGTTTGACATTTCTTGTTCCCCCATCACCTCTAATTATTTCCACTATTTCAACATGGCTCTACACACTTATTGCAAGACCAAAAAATCATGGGGTGGCCCCGACTCATGTGGGAGGTCATCCCAATATGTCCCGAAGTGTACGTTCGGCCCCGAAAGTTGTATTTTCTGGACTGTTTCAATTAAATTTCATTTTATCGGGTCAAATAAAATATATATCATTCTTCCAATTAATATTGGCCTTTAGAATGAATATTTATTATCCCACTTTAATTTCGTGGTCGCCGAAATTAATTTCGGGCTGTTACCTGTTTAATTACCTATACCGGTAATGGGACCTCGTTTGATCGAAAGGCCAACTTTATGGCTCAACATTTATTTACACCCTCATATAAATATTATCTAGACCAAGATGAATATAATATGTGGTTCCGGAAATATCAGATGGTCCCCGCTCCTAGTGTAGGCCCAACGTGCAATTTACTGTTCAAGTAACAGTAAAAATGAGAACACGTCATCTCGTAAATTCATTAGCAATTTCTCATGACTCAATATGTGTATTGATATTTTGTGACATTTTAATAAAATGTTACACATCTTTTTAAGTGATCCCATATGTAAAAACAGATAAAATCTTATCTGTTTGTTCCCAAAATAAAATATCTTTAAGGTAGGGTCCTCCAAAAGTACCCTCCTTTAATATACCAAGTTAATCAATATTATTTATCCCATTATTTTGGTTTCTTAAAATGTTTATATTTCTTCTGTTATAAATTCGTAGTCCTACGAATTATTGACAGTCCGATAATTAAGGACTCCCCACTATCGAATAGTGGCCCTGGCTCGCTCGGCCGTCCAGTTGTCGCTCTTTATAACAATGGGGTCCATGACCCATTCCTACTATCATAATAGTATCGTTTTGGAAAATAGTAATATTTTATAAACTTGAAATACCACGTGTGGTCCCACGTCTAAATTAATAACCCTTTATTAATTTAGGACAAAATTTTACTTTCTCATTTATCGAGACTACTCTTAGTCTTGATTTACCTTCTTTAACCAAGTACTTTACGAAAAATTTTTATCTGGGTAAAATTCGGGTCCGGTGTTACAACCACGGTCAGGGGTAAGTTGCCCAACCGTTGGGCGACTTATAAGTCGCCAAACGGTTTGGCGACTTATAAGTCGCCCAACCGTTGGGGGACTTACCCCTGAAATATGGTTGAAGGCGAGCAGCTACTGCCAGCCACGCACGATCGTGCGTACCCTGGGACGCACGATCGTGCCTAGGTCCAAAAACAGCATTTCAGCAGATTTTTCGCCCCAATTCAACCCGGACTCATCTGTTTGCTATAAATAAGGTCTCTCTTCTCCTGTTTAAGTGTTACGAGCCAGATACAACACATTATAAAACACATTATAAAACATACAGCACACATATTCTCAACCACATACATAACACCCCCTCTCATCAACATAAAAAACACATTGAAAATAACCGGTATAACATAGTACAATCATTCAATATTCATAACAAGTAATCATCTAATATTCAGACTCGAACACATCAAGACAACATACAACACTTTACAAGAGAAAATACGTCAAATGTTGTAAATTGTTCCTACAACATCTACTGCATAAGAAAAACTACAATACAAAAGACAGACTACAAGTTCCCATCGTCAGCTTCGTCATGGAGATGTTGCTGCTCCTGTCTACGCCTACGCCGTTGTCGTGGTTGAAGAACCACTCTCTCATGCTGCGTCTGGGATGATGAAGCCGCCGCTGCACTAGACGTGGATGGCATCTCCTGAGATGGGGGCATGTGTATAAGATGGCCGTAGTCGACTCGCCCCAACACATCTGAACACAAGGACGCAATGCCTGTGAGAGCCTGTCCATACAAGTCCACATCTGGACTATCAGTCACTGTGGCAGTAGCCCGCTGATGTATGCGCTGCAAAGCTCGTGTCTGAAATGTGAAACACAATTACATTTACATTGAAATATATACAAATATTACATAAATAAAATGACTTACTCTACTAATTAGTAATATACTCACCGTAAGATGCAAAGCTAAGGAACTAGGCTGATAATGATGAGTAGGGAGTCTGAACGAAGGAGACACAAACAAACGAGTGATGTTGTAATACCATCCCATGTAGTCTCCTGAAACAGATGGCACATATGTCGGTGTCCCGGCCACAACTAGCTCAGCTCTCCTTTCCCACATAGTCACATATCGGACATGTCTGAGTGCCCAATCCTCTGTATGCTTCCCACGCCTATCCAGCCTATGCAGCTCAACATAAGTGTCGATAGGCCATGGAACCACCTGCTCAAACCCAAACTGTCGCAAGACTCTATCAGGCAAATGAAGCTCAACAATGTCAAAACATATCAACGGCACACGTGCTCGCCATATGTGAGTATGCTCTCGTCCAGCTGGGGGCAACTCTGCTAACATCTCAGGTGTAAACGGCATCCATGTAATCTGTTTCATAAAGATACAAAATTAGGAGATTTTCTTTACATATTATAGTTAATGTTATACTACCCACACCATACCTGGTCCTCAGACATCCGATCAAATGCATCCCTGTACACACCGAGCCCAGTAGCGGATGACATGTGAGATAGACCAGCATATAGCCATCTAACCATTCATGTAACAGTATCATTAATATGGATATTATTAATGTATTTACACACAAACATATACTCACATTAATACAAACGATTGCAAACATACCGACGGCCTAGAGGGTCCTCGCCCCGTACATGATGAGGTCCTAGAAGACGTGGAGGCTCATCAGGCAGTGGCTGTCCATCAATGCCATGATATCCGACTATAATGGGACGGCCAATGTGGATATACTCCCATGACCAAATCTGGAGGAGTAGCAAATATCCCCCAAGCTCTGTGCTTCCTCTCTGGCAGCCGCGACAAAGCTGTCTGTACAGGTAAGCCAGGGTGGCACTACCCCAGCTAAACTGTGCTGCTACATCAAACCTCTCTAGCAAAGGTAAGTGCAGCACCTGAACCTCATTTCCGCTCTTGTCAGCGAAAATGGAGGCTCCCATCATCATCAATATATAAGCCCGAGCATGCTGCTGGATCATCACCTCATCAGCGTCGGGAGGAAGCACCTGGAAGTGCTCCCTCAACCATGGCATCCTCAGGGATGACCCCTGAAGGTCAGTCCTAAGAACGGGGCGCATACCTAACAACCGCTCACACTCATCCACCCACTGTCGACAAGCAGTGCCTGTAACAGCTCTCCCATGAACCTCTAACCCGGTAAGTACAGCAACATCTCCCAATGTCACTGTCACCTCACCAACTGGGAGGTGAAATGAGTGCGTCTCCTGCCTCCAACGCTCAAGTAGAGCAGTGAGAAGCGCTCTATCTAGAGGCACAGTAGCCACTAATCTGTGAAGAGTATAAAAACCTGCAGCACCAACATACGCTAGTACCCTGTCGTCGACGTGCAAATGCGACAAACCCCGCAGGTGCTCGCGGCACCTATCCACCTGAACATCCATGCCAAGCCAAACATCCTCACTCCTATGCGAGGCCTGCAGTGTCAGGACAGAACGATCACTCGGCCCAGGATCCGCTGTCACCTCCATGCCTACACACAAACAAAATAATATTAATTCTTATTCAATAATATATTAATTTTTTTTAACATCCTTTTTGAAATGATTATTTTTTCTTTCAACGAAAACATTAATTGTAATTCACTCTAAATAGAACCTTACCCAGCGGACCCCCCCTCGTTTCTAGACGATCTCTTCGCACATGTGGCTCTATTATGGCCGGTTTGGTGGCATTTTCCACATCTAACCGTTCCTCGTGGACCTTCATCCATCTCATTCTTAATACATGTCGACTTTGGTCTTCCCTTTGCCCGTAGCATGGATGGATCATGCACAATTTCGGGTCCATTGTAAGTAGGCCAATAATCACGATCAGGAATCGGTTTGAAGACTCTATGATAAGTGGCGGCGTATTGGTCAGATGACAAAAAATTATCCACAAATGGAGCATAAGACAAACTACGTTGTCTACACACGGCTAACACATGAGAGCATGGAATCTTATATATCTCCATCTTTTTACAAGTGCAAGTTTTCCGTTGTAGATGGACAGTTTGTTTTCTCCCACCCTTTCCCAATGTTCGGCCACCACAACCGGTTTCCACCTGAAATATACCTCGGCCTAAATCAAATGGAGTGACACTGTGATGCTTTGCCTTCTCTCTATTTTTTTCAATTAAATCTGTGATGTGTGGGGAGTACTCGTGGCCTTGTGTGAGCCTCAATTTACTGGTTTCACGCCTAGTAACAAAATATGCGTTAACCCGGTAAAAAGAAACCTGTACCAAGGCGGTGATGGGCAAATATCTAGCATTTTTCATGACGCTATTGAAAACCTCTGCCAGATTTGAAGTGATGGTACTGTATCTATATCCGCCATCGTGGTGCAGTGACCACATTTCCGGAGGAATGTTGGCCAAAAAGTGTCGTGCATCCAAACTCATTTCACCTATCTTCTTGAACCCCCCATCAAATTAAATTTCTTTTTCTGATGTTGCCGTGCGGTCCAAACAAAAAGATTTTTTAGATGAATGTCTTTGAAATGAGTGTGCACATTTGATGCAAGATGGCGGATGCATAGCCTATGATGCGCATAAGGCTCCTCCCAAGTACTGCCCACCTCATTCATTGCCCTTACAATACCTCCATGTCTATCTGAAATGACACACAACTCCCTGTTAGTCACAAACTGCCTAATACATGCCATAAACCATGGCCAACTATCTCCATTCTCAGATTCAACAACTGCAAAGGCCACTGGAAATATTTGATTGTTCGCATCACAACCCATGGCCACGAGCAATGTACT